TGGGTTTAGAGAGGTATCTTAGAGATAAAAGGGGAGTGACTTTAGGCTTTTGTTATGCTGAATGAAAACAGGGCAATGTTATAACTTGTAAACAGCAAAGGTTATGAATGCCAACAGATAAATTTTTCACAAAGTTCATATCTGCTGTGCCAAGTGTCGCTTCTCTGGCATTGAATCACACGCATGCTGTGGTCTAAGGCTTGTGGAGTCTTTCTGGAAGCGAGACTGAGGTCTTATGCTGCAGGAAAAGGAAAGATCAAGACTTGAATTGTATAACTTTGACGGGGAAATAGGTTTATCCGTGTATTTTTTTGAGGGGGAAAAACATTCATCTCCCTGATGAAAGTGCCATAGTGCTCCATGTGCCTCTGCCAACCACGGCGGAAGCATGGCCTGGCTCTAAAACTCTTTTTCTCTCCATTGCGCATTAATGGTTAAGCAACATCAGAACTTAAATCACTTATTCTCAAATTGTCACCTTTAGCACTCTGCATTTCATCCTTTTCATAAGACGTAACGTTGCCCGAACTCAGCATCGGACAGTGTTGAGCACAGCAGGGTTTGGAAGGTGAATAACTCCGGGTTCTGCTTTCTCAAATGACAGCAAAAGCACTTTGTCAGGAAATCGCTGAGCTGCTGCAGCCCCTGCTCTTTTGAGCATAGCTTGGTGATTCCAGGGAAGGGGGTCTGTAACTTTGACTTGTCCTCATTGTTTGATTTTTATGTTTTGGCCCCATTCAAAGTAAAAGAAAAAACCTGTAATTAGGTGAAGTTTCCAAAGCAGAGCCATTAATTTAAGCACTAAATCTACAGAACTGTGGGAATTACTTCATGCAGCCAATACGTGCTGACATTTCCCAGTGGGATAGAAGCTGACGAACACAGTGCATTGGTTTTTCACCTCCAGACAGACTCATCTTGGAGCGGTTACCGCTATCACCTGCTAATCAGTGAACGGGTGGGTGTTTTATTTATCCTGTGAAAGAACTAAATCCCTCATGAAACAAATGGGACAATGCTTGTGCTTTATTGTTGCTGCTTTTTGTGTTTGAGCCCTGGTGCCAGTGCAGCGCCTTTAGCGAGGCTGGGTTAGGGCTGTTCAGTTGGAACTCTGCTTTATTTGTCCACTGACACTTTTCCCCCAAAATAGAAATGTCTTAAAAATTAACCTAATAACTGTATTTTTAAACAAGTATACAGGAATAAGGTTGGATAAAGCAGTGAGTGCTTCGTAACAGTGTGGCAATATTACATAAACAAGCAAAACTTTTAATTTTGCCTGTGCGAGTGGCAATGAGGATAGTCTGGATCAGGCCACCACAAAGTTATTGCTTTTGACAGGAGCTCTTCAGTGAGACACTGAGCTGATCAGAAAATCAAATTCATACCAGAAAGCCAGCTGACATCACCGTCAGCAATTTCATGCTTGTCCATCACGGCGCTCTGGTCGGGCTTTTTGACAGCTCTAATGCTACGATTGCAACATCAGCTGGGAGCAACAGATACAGCTGGGCATCATCTGCAGAGGAATTGAAGTCTAGATTGTCTTGTTTGATAATTGTGTCAGGAAGCAAAGACTCCTTGCCAAACACCAGAAAATATCTGTCATCAACACATGATAGAAGGCAGGGAAGGCCAGCCTGGCCTTCAGACGCAGTAACAACCTGGAACTGGTCAATAGCTCATAAAAACAAAGGGAAAACAAAACATAAAGCCTTGGTGTGTGTCTCTGATTTCAACAGAAGTTGCTGAGATGAAGCCCAACAGACCTTTTGGGGTTTAGGTTAGGATCTCTGTTACCTTTTGCACTAAGTACTGTTTGGAAGCATCTGTTTGGGAGTGGAAGGGAAGGAATGCAGCACATCACCAGGGGAGAGAAATGAATAATGACAGAAGGAAATATTGGGAGGGTGACAAAAGGAAACTCTTCATCTGATGGGTAGTGATGCTAAAATGCAAAATGGTCATATGAGAACTAAAACTGTGCTTAAAAAATGCTTCTTCATACTGTGAAAGGAAAGGTAAAATTGTTGAATCAGTGAATCCTGCTGGACTGCAGCTCATCTGGGTGCCATGGTATTAAACGTGCTGGGATGCTGCAGAACTGCTCATCGGTAACGTGCTTTCTGGTGCTGGGTAGGAGTGGCAGCCCACAGGTTAGCAGGGGTTTTATACCTTTTCTGTATGTTCTTCTCAAAGACCTTCAGCTTCTGTAGTTTTGTTCTGGAAGGAGACCTTACTTGTTTTTAACAGTTATTAAAAGTAGCACCCTGTTGCACAGAGCATCACACAAACCAGTAAGCTGCTTCTCTCCCCCACAACTAACACCCAGTACCCCAATCAGATGAACGAGCCCTGAGCAACTAGCGCCCAGTACCCCAATCAGATGAACGAGCCCTGAATGTTGCTTGTAATTACTGTACTTCTTCTCTGGTATTTTTTGCATACCAATGAAAAAAGTCTTGAACAGATATTTTTTAGGAAAAAAAAAAAGGAAACAAGACACCACCTGGTCTAGTTTGTTACTCACATACCTGTTTCTTGTCGTACATGCGTGAATGATGTGTCATAAACTCACGCCTGGAAGTCCCGAGCTGGCAGGTGGGACCAAGGCTGTCTCCTTATTTACAGGCTGCCTCCTCTCCCTTCCATTCTTCCCAGCCTTGGGTTTCTCAGTGTGCAAATGATATGTTTACAGTTGGGATCTCTAGATCTACAGGCCTTAGTTTTAGAGTATGAATTCACCTCCATTAATTGCGAGCTGTATTTAATATTGATGCTAAAAGGACGTGAGGAGTGTTCCAATGAGCATGTTCTCCTTTGGAAAAAAGGAGCTGAAAAATTACCAACCACTCTGGTTATAGTGTCCTGTAAAGATGCCAGCAGGCAGAATGTGATTTAAGGTGCACATTTTTGCAAATCAGCGCCTTCATAACAGCACTGAAAGGAGAGAGAAAGAGGTACAGGGGGAGTCTCTGGAAGATTTATATATAGCCTCTTATCTTTATTTAGTGCAGAAATTCCCCAAAAGGATGAGTGTGTCAGATCACTGGTTCGTTTTTAATATTTTTTTTCTCCTTTTGCTTGCTTTTCTTCATTGTTGTAATCATGCAAATGATGCCATTCAGTGTATCCATCTTGCCTATTGACTTGAGATGCTGAATATTAATTGAGCAGCATGAGATCTGTTTTTCAAGCTTCATAGATAAGCAAAACAGTTTTATATTAAAGTGCTTCATCCTCTTTTACTAGGATACTTTAAGACTTTCTTATCTTTGCCTGTCATACAGAAAACCTAAAAAGCCCAAATGTCTGAGACCTTGGTTTGGTTTCTAAACAGGCTTTCAGTAGCAGATTTTTGTAGAGGTTGTTCTGCTCTTAAACTTGGTTCTTTATTTCAGTACATTGGCTTTAATTTTTTTAAGCCATTGTGATTCTGGATTCTCAGTCTCTCTGCAGATCTGGAAAAGAGAGGAAGAAGCAGGTTTTTATCTTTCAAAGGACAGTTGAAAGACTTTTTGTTATTATTTGGCCTTGCTTCAAGAAAATGCACTTTTGAATGTGACAAACCAGCTACTACATAGACATCTTGAACTTCACCAAGTAAAAATGTTTTTGAAGCATTGGTTTTTTTAACAGGTTTTTTTTTTCCTCAAACACAGAAATGTGCTCTGATTTATGTGCTTGCTGTAGAGCTAGGAATGATAATGTGTTCACAGCCAAAGTTGTGATGATATCGAATATAACATTTTTCCAAAAGCAAGGGGTGATTGCCAAGGGCTCTTGATCAGTTTTCCCTCTTTTTACCTGGCTGTGTGAATATCAGATTCCTGGGACTTCTGTGCACTTCTTTTATCTTGAGAATGGTGTTGTCTTAAAGCATGAGCTGTTGTTGAGATGGAGATATGAAATATTGTTATATTCATAACCCTTCTTTAGGGAGGGGTTGCAATACAGTCTGGTGTCTCATCTTAACAGTTAATTTAAAGTATGTTAGTGATATGCTACATTGCTCTGCAAGAACTTGGCCATGTTTCTTTTTGAAGACAAACTTTTTGCCATAAAATTTCTCACTGGTCGATCTAGAAAAGGCAAGACTCTGTCTAGGTTTAACATATTTGCAGAGATATTGACCGGGCTTCTTTTCTATCTGCCTTATTAATAAAAGGGGAACTAACTTTCTTCTCTGTGAGGGTGCTGAGGCCCTGGCACAGGGTGCCCAGAGAAGCTGTGGCTGCCCCTGGCTCCCTGGCAGTGTTCAAGGCCAGGTTGGATGGGGCTTTGGGCAACCTGGGCTAGTGGAGGGTGTCCCTGCCCATGGCAGGGGTGGGACTGGGTGGGCTGGGAGGTCCCTTCCAACCCAAACCAGTCTGGGATTCTAGTCCTAGCTAGCCCTAACTAGTCAGGGCTTAGGAAGAGGATGAGGCTGCTGCTGTTCTTATTCCATGAAGGATAGCTATCTGCATTTCTCCTCTACCCTTCAGTCTGGTGTTTTTGTTCCTTTTAAGGCTTGAAGCAAGAGCTGTGTCCCTTTTCCAGATGGGAGAGAAGGAACATTTCAGTATGAGATTTGAGGTTTACGGAATATCTGATTTCTACACTTTTGTCTTTAAGAGAGAATTTTGTTCAGCTGAAGATGTATAGGGTATGAATTTGAGGATTAAGAAAATTGTGCAGGGTTATTTTTGAGGCTGACTAATGTTGAAAACATATTTGACCTTCCTATGGCTTTTTGAATGTTAATAATCCCCAAGCAAAATGGATTGGAGTTCAGAGATGCGATAAACTCGCTCAAACCTGTGTTGTTCCTGTATGTGTGTGCAATCCCACACACCAGTAGCAGACATAGTTTGTTTATTCAGCTCTACAGTAAATGTTTTGTGTTTTCTTTTCCCAATGTAACCAATTTATATACATGCTTCTATCTTAACTAGGTGCCTGCATCTTAAATAGATTTGGTTTTATGCTTAAAATGTTTATCTTACATTTTATGTTACTAGGCCAGGTACAAGCAGAGTCTTGATCCTACAGTGGATGAAGTTAAGAAACTGTGTACATCTCTGCGTCGAAACGCCAAGGAAGAGCG